ATGAATACTTCTGTAATCTTTTGATACTGGTCAAATAATTCCAATCAAGACCTATAACCTGGTTATTTACAAGCCTTAAGGATAACTGTTCTGACTTTAGAGTTAACTGATCTGAATGTAGCACACATAACCCTCAGACAAGAACAAAAGTCATGATTTATAACATAAAACTTTCATAAACAAACAAGGTTTATTACTGATTAACATGCGTAGTTGTGATCTTCACCTTTATTTAGATAGATGAGTGAAGCTGCGTACTGAAGTTTTTCTTAACCGGAAACTTATAAGGTTGGTCTCGATGTACCATTCAGTGTTTAGACCATTCTTATTTGGTTATTGAAGTATGAATATATTCTGATTTGGTTTATTAGTGGTAGATATATTGCTATCAAATGAAAAAGATATACTAAAGAATTCATTGTGATGAACAGAAAGAACATATTAATGAGTCCACATGAACGAATATGACGAATTCAAACTATGTCTCAGAGTTTTAAATGAAGCCCAATAATCTAAACATTCATAGTTGACTGAGACACATCGTTAATTATTAGAGGGATTAGTATCAAATAAATATTTGATCATCTTAAATTCTTTATCAAACCCGATAGTACTTCGGCAAACATAACTTTTCAGATTTAATTAATAACATTACTCAACAAACTTAATTGGTGTATGCTAAAGTGGGACTGATAACAAAAGTGGCGTGTTGTAAAGCATATGGCTATAACCAGTCAGTAGACTGAGAAATTTTAAGCGTACCATATTTGAAAAAATATACATGAATCGTTATTTATTCAACTAGTTAGTTACCATTACACAATATGGCTCTCCCTAATTAAAATAAACACATACAAAACTTGTTATTGATTTAAACTAGCCATTCAATTTACACATATTATATCACACATTAACTTCGCTTGTAGCTCTTCTCGAGTTACTGCCGGTCCCAAGCCCAAACAAAGGAGGAAGGTTAGGCATAGGGTTAGTGACCCCATCCCGTAGAAAAATTGACTCGTTTAAAAAACGCTAACCAGAAAAAGTAATTCAAACCATTTAAACTCTGCCCTGGGAGTTTAAAGAATAATTATTACGCCTCATGATGAAAGCCGAGTTCCTTCGGAAGTCATGAGGCCGATGCACCTTCTAACAACCACAGCAACACTCTTTATAGGTACATAGAACGTCCGAACAATGTGGGAGACCGGGAAGACCAGTCAAGACCAGTCTTTTATCACTAATCAATGTCATTTTCAAAATACGTTTAGACAAAAGAATCAAGTGATTTCATTCATTCTAAAGAAGTACGAAATACATGGAAAACTTTTCTCCGTGGAAACAAAACGCACGGATAGATTTTCTTTATAGTTTTTACATCACAGGTTGACTTTAATTAGAAAATCGTTGAAAACTAAGACGCACTGGAAGTCTGTTTTGTCCCAGTAAAGGACTCCTCAGCACTGTATATTTATAACCCTGTTGGATATCATAGTCGAGGCATTCTCTACTTGAATAACTGAATTTCTTTATTATGCATAAAACTATAATATTTGATGATTAATTTGTTACCCGTAGGTATCTACTATCGAGGATCGATATAACCGTAATTAATTTTTCATTTAAACGATATACCTTTCGTTAAATGCCAACTTTACAAATATGATGGATTAAACTCTCATTGAAGCATTTCAACACTTTACAAGCTAAGTTATTAAAATAACAATAGTAAGTATGCATGGTAACTGATGTATATGTATGTATAAGTATGTAGTTTATTTTGTCGGTCAAGTGTAGAATACGATCACGTGACATATATCAAGTTATCAATAAAATGTAAGAAAAAATTCAAAGAAATTCATAAGCAGTTTTTTCCGCTTAGTTTTATCCACTCCAAAGTGCCTTAGCTAGCTTAGTTACTACGGTTCAATAATATAATTATATATATAGTCATTTTAAAACATTATGTTGCTTGGGTGAAATTTTACCAGATATTATTTACTTATCCTGGGTCTTGTATATTCAATAATATTATGGTCATGACACAGAAAATTTTTAAAAAAATTATTTGGATGGGGGTTTGTGGAGATTGTAGTAATTTAATGGTTGAATTCATGAGTCGAATTAAGCTAAACCACAATGGAAAACCTGAAAGCACTCGACGGGCGTTTCGTCCTAGTATGAATCCTGATAATAATCGTCATATGCTCACTAATGACTGGTTTCAAGATGTATTTCCTGGAGTTCTAGGGAGAAGCTATGGCCAGTGGAGTTCAACCGTGTCTGTTGCAGAGGCAGTTACTCACCGAAGACAATGGTGGGCGGTCACGCAATATCGTGGATTGATTGAAGTTAAACATTAACACCGAAGTATGTCAGCTCAATGGTCTAGAGAGTAAGCATTCGTGAGCGAGACATTGGGTCCTGGGTTTGAGTCCCACCTGCGAGATCATGGATTTGCCCTGCTCAGTTGTCTCATACTAGGACGAAATGACAGTCTAGTGTTTCCAGGTTTTCTAGGGTGGTCTAGCTTTAATGGACTCACGAATTCAATCATTGTATTCTAAATATCTAATTTCGATAGATATAACTAGGCGAATTACTGTATACTTAAATAACTAATTTCGATGCCATGTATACTGATCATATATTGTAATGACCAAATAATAGACTGAATAAAATTGTGCAACAAGTTTTGAGGTATGGTATAATAATAATAGTAGTAGTGATAATTAAAGACTTTATTCACTATTATATGTTTAGTACAATATGGAATGTTAGACAATACCAAAGTCAGAAATTTCAATACAAACTTCAAGTCAGTTTTGTTATATAAAGCTGGAAATTCGAGAACTACTACAACCATCATCAACAGGGTACAGGTGTTTATCAATAGTTGTCTGAACAACATAATCCATACCCGTTGGGAAGATACAATCATCAACAGCCTACTATGACAGAGAATAAATAGGCTTTCATTTAATTAGGAAATTAGGAAAAAAACACTAAAGGCGGATAGGACATAAAATAAGGAAATAGTCAAACTATATCAAAAGACAAGCCTTAACTTAGAATGCTGAAAGCGAAAGGAAAAGTAGTAGACCGATGAATACATCATACTAGGAATTAAAGGCAGACATGTAGAGAATCCTATTCGGAAGCCAACACTCCGTCACGTAGGGTGACAGCCATAAGTAAGTATGATCCCTGGTTCTCATCAGTCCTTCAACAAATGTGAACTTTTGATGTGAGTCTCTGCAAATTCTAAACTAAATACTATGTCTTATTGTAAATACTTCATCTTATTTCTCTAAACTAATAAAAATCCTTAAAGTATGGAGATCGAAAAATTTCTTGATTAATCCTATTCCTACAGAGATTTATGTTTAAAAATATATTATTGGTACATTTTATCAACAATACTGGTTGATGGATATATATATTTTAAATAGAAGGCAAAACATTATATGTCTATAAACTTAACTTTTGTCCAACCGATATTGTATGTCAAGTAACTCAGATAAAAGCAATCTGATTGTGAAGGTCATTGTTTTGTTTTTCAAGAAAGAATCAGAAAAAAAAGTGGTATATTCATGCTCGTGTAAAGTCCTTTTCCTATTGAAATGTAAACAAAATTAGTAGTGAATCTATGGATAAACACGTTCTATGTACTACAACATACAAATGTTATTCAGTAGTATGATTGTTTGGATAATTTTCTCTGGTTAGCGTTTTTTTTTTTGGTGAGTAGCATATTTATAAATGAAGAACATCTGGAACACAAAACAATTGTCAACCAACACTAAGATCAGAATTTTCAATACAAATGTCATGACGGTTCTACTGTATGGAGCGGAAACGTGGAGAACTACGAAAGCCATCATCTGGAAGATACAGGTGTTTATTAACAGTTGTCTACACAAAATACTTCGTATCCTTTGGTCAGAAACTATCAGCAACATTCTACTGTGGGAGAGAACAAACCAGATTCTATCCAGTGGAGGAAGAAATCAGGAAGAAGAACTGGAAGTGGATAGGACACACTTTGATGAAATTACCTAACTGCGTCACAAGGTAAGCCCTCACATGGAATCCCAAACAGGGTGAAATACACGTCCTGGATTCCACTGCTAACTACTATCCATCTTTGTTTATGAATGTCTCTAATTTAAAACCCATAGTGATTCAGACTTCGTTTAAACTTTAGCCATCATTTTCATCATCAAAAGAAGCCACAGGACTATTATTTTTATCTAAAATTTAGGTGTATAACAAAACTTTTATTATGCTATTAATATGTTCAATGATTTGACTGTTTAACAACAAATAGAAAATTACGGAATATCTTGGCAAAATATCAAGACAATACACTAAATACTTCATTTGTAAATTTCCATCGTTTGTCCTTCACATTCTTTATGATTCTTCCAGTTTACAATTCCTATTTATTTTCCCATTTGTTCCCTTCAACTCAATCTTCTTAGCCAATCTTCTGCCAAGTTTTCTACTTCCGATTGGTGTTACACACTACCTATACCTGTCTACATAAGTAGCATACACCACATATGTACCTCGCTGCCGAATTAGTTAATTAAACTATGGTATGTATACGCAGTGATATATGTGTATATACCTTCCAAACATACTAAGATTAAATTGAAATGATTTTATAATGGGGAAATCAAGTTAATGCGTCAATTGCAGATACATGTACATACATGGATACTGTGTGTGTGTGTATTTACACTCGTGTATACATATTTGTGGACAAAAATACCTCTCCAGGTATAATTTTGTCTAAGAAATTGTCATTCAGTAGTTTCAACTATAATTCTTTGTCTGGTCTTTAAGCATCTAAAATATAAGATTTCTCTTTAGTATTGAAAGAATTTCTCCACTTTTTCTTAGTTGTTGGTTACAGTTGGGGTTTCTTTTGACGTGAAGAAAATATGCTTACTTTATTGTTGTTACAAGTGTTGCTAGTGATATTGTTATTCACAAAAATGAATTGTAGCCCCCCGTTTACATGGTATGCATTTTATGCAAGAGTAATTTTTGTAATTTGATGTATGATTCATAAATAGATTTCAGTAATCATAATATAATCAGGTTCTACAAGTTTGTACATTTATAATTTATCAATATAGGAAAATATATATAGGTGTGTGTGAGTGTGGAGTAGGGGAAAATATGAAAATATTCACTTTTTAGTTTTCAGCCGAAGACTAACTAACTGTAAAAACTGCCACGTGAAGGCATGACACTACGATCCTACTACTAGTTGCACTACTACTGTCGTGAACGGGAACACCAGTGGGGACAATAAAATATGTTTCAATAAAACATTACAGAATATCTTAGTAAAATCTGAGAGTCATACAGCAAAATATCCATCAATTGTCTGAGACTTTGTTGTTCCTTCGTTTTCATAACAATCACTTCATGTTCTCGTTCTCTTGTCTTCGAGTTTCTCAAGCTTCTGCCGCAATTCATCCCACTTTCGACCGGTGATACATACTACTTATATTTTCCGACATCAGTAGCACACACCACATTCCTCCTCCTCCTCCTCCTCCTCCTCCTCCTCCTACTACTACTACTACTACTACTACTACTACTACTAATAATAATAATAATAATAATAATAATAATAATAATAATGGTAATAATAATAATAATAATGGTAATAATAATAATAATAATAATAATAATAATAATAATAATAGTATGAAGACTTTCGTACTGTATGTAGATGACACAGAAATTTAACGTATAAAATACATGCCTCCCAGTACACTAAACACTAGAAATGACCACCATTCAATACTGAATATAAAAATGGAACCGTAACATTGAGATGAAATTTTTTTGTTATTAAATTGTCTAATACATGGGTTTATGGCAAAATCATTACCCCTGTAATTCTAAGGTTTGTCTAACGTTGAAGTTATGTTATATTCTTCGTATACCTATGCATATGACAGATTACTTAATAATAACATGTATATCCTATCGAGATTTATGATTAATACGATGTATATTAAGTTCATAATAGTGTACTCTAAAATTATACTACTTGCAATCCTATATTTGTATGCCTATAACCGTTCACATTATCTACAACTAGATGACGAATCCTTAATCAGAATAATTTGTGAATTACGGTTTTCCGAAAGTAATGTATCCTAAGACATTAAATAGGAATAATATATTTGTAAAATCTCAGTTAATGAATTTGAAGTAAATGCAACGTTTCGCCTGGCAATCTGGTCCAAGCTTTTTCAAGGAAACGAAACAATGTATTTACTTCAAATTCATTCGCTGAGATTTTACAAATATATTATTCCTATTTAATGTCTTGCATCAACTCGGCGCCCAAATACTGTGAAACTATTCGCTCTAATTTAGACAAAGCCCCCATATGCCCTGGTACGGCCAAGAGTGGGGAGAGTACGCTCTCCCTCTCCAAATGCTCTCACATGGACACGCGTATATAGCCTCTGCCAGAGAAGCATTACTCACTGCCTTCTAGTGGTATTGCTGTTGTTTACGAAATTGAGAAGACGAAAAGAGAATGTCCGATGCTTTAAGCGTTCGGTGGACACGGAAAGTTCACCTAGGGGAGTTGGAAAACCCTAATTCCGAACCAGTGGTGCACATGGGCTCCAGTATCTTGAGCAAACAAATGGTGTATGAATCAATAATTGGTCACCGGCTATCATGGGACTGCATGTCCATACATTGCTCCAATGCCTTGTGGATTAGACCTTTAGGTCAAAGGCTCCGGGTGTGACCCTCCAAAAAAACCACCTGCTTCAGTTTGAGCACCTGGGCAGAATCACAGCCCTTACACAAATCATTCGATTTGTGTGGCGCATATGTATCTGGTGCCTTTTTGCACCAATATTTATGTGTTTAGATAAAATAAAATAAAAAATTCTTATATAATGTATCCTAACTTTTTTTAATTCCACCTCTCCTTTAGTATATATATAGTTAAAGATATCATCTTTTTCTGTGTCCTGATTTTGTTCCCTTTTAAAAAAACATTCAATGCACAATTGGTCTAGAATTCATTTGCTTTAATGATGTGACTTGCCTCCTAAATATCAATATATATACCTTGTATTAACTATTGTTTTTGTACCATTCACTAATTGATTCATTTGAATCAAATTGTAACATAATTTTTAATCCTTAAAATGGGTTAACTGTATACTTCACTTAGTTATACATATAGTCATCTAGTGTAATGAAATTGTTTTTTTTTCAGCAAAATTTGTTAATTGTATCTAGGAGAAAACTTAGAGAGTATCAGCTTTTAAAATTACTGATTTTAATGTGAATAATATAAGTTATGACTTAAATTTTGTTATCAAACCCACATCATAACAATGGGAAGAAACAAGTAAACAACACCAAGTGAATTTAAACTTCACCCCATTGCACAAGTAGGTGACTGTCACGACTCAATAGTTAAGTGGATAACACGATGGCGTTTGAAGCGAACGGTACTCGATTCGAGTTCTAGAGTGAATACCAACTCTGAAATGCAGGTACATTCAGCTGACGAGTCCCGAACAGGGTGAAACGCGCGTCCTGGATTCCACTGCTAGCCACTATCCATCTCACAACATATTGTTTTAATTTATTCGATTTACTTGAAATATCATACTGATAAATTGTAAATGGTAATAAACTTTCTTTCCGCATTTTATATTCTTAATTAATCTTGTTTATCATAAGCAAAGTAGAACCTGGGATATATGATGAAATTAAGACATGTTCTAAACATGTTTCACAGTAAAATAATGTTAATTTTGTTACTGTTCGAAGTGAACAAGGTACAAATAATTATGAATGTGTACCAATTGGTATTGCTAGACACTATCAGCAACAACCTACTGTGGGAGAGAACAAAGCAGATTTCAATGGAGGAACAAATCAGGAAGAAGCACTGGAAGTGGATAGAACACACATTGAGGTTAGTACTGAACTCAGTCACAAGACAAGCCCTCACATGGAATCCTGAAGGCCAAAGGAGTAGAGGAAGACCAAAGAGCACATTACACTGAGAAATGGAGACAGACATAAGACGAATAAACAACAATTGGATAGAACTAGAAAGGAAGGTGCGGGATAGAGTGGGTTGGAGAATGATGATCGGCGGCTTCTGCTCCATTAGAGGTAACAGGCGTAAGTAAGTAAGTAATTACCAATTGGTATTCTTCATTTTCATATACTTTTGAATTGATCCATGTATTAGTATACTTTAGAAATTATAGTATACTTTACAGGGTAATCTTTGACTATTAGTCTACTATCAAAACAATAATAATAATAAACCAATTTACGGCGAAAAAGGTTTGTTTAAATATTCAGCCAAAGAAAAAGAAACAATCAGTATATTCTATTTAAAGGCCTACATATCTATTGAAATTCAATGAAACTATTCAAAATATGTGGGCTAATAATCATAATAACAAATGAATTGAACATAATTACATGTCGCTATTCAGTCTATTAATATTCAATTCAATAATAACTGACTAATTATTACTTTATTGTATAATCATCTATATGTAACAATTATTAGAGAAAATGTTTTATGATAAAATCAATAAGCAACTAAAATATTGAGTTGTTTATTATTAAACGTAGCTAAAAAAAATGGGAAAACTATCATTGATTTATGGATACATAGATACTAAAATCTCTTCTATTAATTTTTCTTTCATATAGTTGAAATCATAAGTCAATTGAAGCTAGATCACCATCGTAAACCTGGAAGCACTCTATGGCCGTTTCGTCCTATTATGGGACTCCTCAGCAGTGCACATCCACGATCCCGCCTCGCGAGCGAGATTCGAACTCAGGAACTACCAGTCTCACGCCAGAGCCTTTAACCGACAGACCACTGAGCTGGTCGGCGTCCAACGGTGTTAATGTTTAACTTCAACCAGTCCATGAAGTTTGAGCAACCGTTCACTAATTGTCTTCAGTGAGTTCCTATCTCCCAACAGACCTGGTTGAACTCCACTGGTCACTGCTTCTCATTAGAACTCCAGGAAGTTAAGTTTGTTACTTTTAATTTTCTTTTTAAAATTAGTTGAAGTTGACAATCTCCTTAGGTAGTAAACAATTTTCTGGATACTAATAATCTGTTCAAAAATTGTCTATCCTCAAAAAAAAAAGAAAAAGAAAAGGGAGTTTCTTGATAAATTCATGTTGAATAATTTGAACATACTTCGAGTTGATGCTCTGTGATAAATTGGTACTATGGAAAACGTAACAATAGTTTTCTGATTCTGTTCACGTTTTTTGCCAACTTCAGAAATATGACCTCATAACCTGAAAATTCTCTTGATATTACAGATATGCTGATGATATTTTCGTTAGATGCAGTAAATAATTCCATCTAAATGAAATCCTCATGACACTTCGATTGTTAACATGATGTTGATCGTTGCAAATCAAAAGATTTGAACTCGTAGTCTTATTCATTAACAAAATTAAAATAGAACACTTCTACGTATAAGTGTATCGATAATAATGAAGTCACTAACCTATGATCAATCAATCTGAACATCACAACCCTATAAGAAGTTAGTTATGATCCTTAATGTTCAACCTCAACGTCTCTGATTGTAATACTCGGTGATGAGAGTTTAAATCTGACAGGAAGCATGAATTCCATGAAGACTATAGATACGTTTTACTGAAGAATATCTAAGCAGTCCCCGAAAAGGTGTTTACTGGGTAGCTCCTCGTCTTAATTTAGCAATATTCGGCAGTAAATCCCGATGACTTGTGGAGTAACTCAAGTCACTATCTCCCTAAGAGCACTGTATGACAACTTTACTGTTCCAAAAATCTTCTGAAGCCAAAAGCATAGACAGTTCAATTTAAATCCAGGAATGAATTATATCAGTCTCGTCAAACTTTAGTATAATAGCGTGATTCAAAGTATATTCTTCATTATTACGGTAGCTAAACACGATATTCACTGAGTGATACGATATTTACATTTGGTCCAGTAATCCAGACGAAAATTTCTGTTTATCCTGGTATGTAATTCATAGGATTGACCCATGACTATATTTCATCTAAATGACTGACTTGAAAATCTGCTGGACGACATTCTGCATAGTTTTTAGCTATTCAAATCGCCCAAAAGTAAGCCTTTCGAAAATTTAACTGTCTAAAGAAAGAACTTGGATAGTAATAGCTACAGTTATATTAACCATGAATTAATAGTTATTACTAAATTAATTAAGCTAACCAAGTTGAAATTGTGAAGGTTCAACTCAAGATTTAGCTACTTGATCCTAGCATACAAAAATTTGAGCATCTCTATTTTTATTCACCATAAGGTAGTTAGTTGACAAACAATATTGAAGAGTCCGGAAACTCTCGCCGAACGAAACTCTACTGTTGACATCAACAATTCTGTATCTAATTTTAGTTTATGGTAATGTAGCTGTAAATAAATCCCCCAAATCAATAGCTCTGTAGATGTTCAACATTGGATGCTGGCCACATTAGCTTTAATGGACTCATTTAGCTGAAGGCGCTCGGTCATGCATCCTTACCAGATCACGGTTTGGAACAGCGTGCGCAACGTCTCCTGCGATCACTAGCCAGATTAGATCAGTCACTTCTCAATATATTGATAATATATCAAATATATCTTCCAACCTCCTCGCTTCTGACTTGTGATTTCACTAGGTGGGCGCGATTCAATTATGGAAGGTGTTACTGTTAAGTGTTGTCAAATTACAATACCTGTGGTATCTTCAGTGGTGAGACCGACGTGATCTGATACACCAAACAATAAACTGTCTGTTCCTTTTTGGAACTTCACAAATCATTGCTTTATTTTTTTTATATGTTGTGATATTTTTTTCATATTTAGGGATATTTTTCCCTCGTTCACTCCTGCACTTTAAATTCTCCATGACAGAACAGACTCCCAAGTTACTTATGATCAATACTCTTGCACCACCCTCGTTTCAGCTAACGCTCTTTTGGCCGGACAATATCGAAGCCTGGTTCTGCTACGCAGAAGCCGAATTCTACGAGCACGGCGTTAGTGAACCACGTACACAATTCATCGAAGTAGTGAAGGCACTACCGCGCGATTTCAAACGATACGCCACACCTAGTTTGTTTACTAGTGATGTTTTGGAACCTTACGAAGGTACCTGTCG